GAGATTGAACGACGATGGGAAGCCGTATGTTACTGATAACTCGAATTACATTGTGGATCTCTACTTCCAGACTCCGATCAGAGATGGGTACGCCGCCGGGAAGGAGATTCTGTCGTTTGAAGGTGTGGTGGAACATGGGTTGTTCTTGGATATGGCGACGGCGGTGATCATCGCCGGGACGAGTGGAGTGGAAGTGAAAACCAAGTGACTTTATGACTTTGTGCTCCGAGATTGGGTAATATTTTCATTGCCGTTGATTGAAATTTTTCTGATCTATAAAGATCTGTGATCTTTTGCTCATTTGCTAGCATAGCTATGGATGTAATTGTTTACTGCCTGAAATAATCCACAGAGATTTCCAAGCTCTTATGGTGCTGGTTTGTTCAGTTTCTTGCCATCTTTTGGTCCTTTTCGTTCAGTGTCATCAATGGCTTGTTTGAATGGGTGTTCATAGGGTTCATATTTTAGGGCTGAAAGCTCTTAGGGGAAGGAATGGGAGTGAGAGGAGCTTTTTATTGAGGTGAAAATTATAAACTGACATTGTACCAGAGCCAAATGGCGGCAGGCCAGTTTATATGATCATCGAGAGTACAGTAGCAAGATCATGGTCCAAACTCCAAAGTAACTTCTGTTGCAGCATTGAGGTTCCTGTGGAAACAGATTGAAAACCAGCCATTAGAAGCTGAACTGAAGCATTGACCCTGGAGAAGAGAGGTTGAAAGACAAAAACACATATAGGGACAAGGATTTGTACCATAAGTCTTCATTCAAAGCAGTGGAGCTCGGTGTTGGTTCAGTCGATGATGAGTTTGAGAAGTTCATCCTCAGATTAGCAGAGTCAGGAACAGAGAAGTGATCAATTGGAAAAAAAACTTGCTGCCCAAAGCCAGTAACTGGAGTGACTATACAGAGAAGTGATCATCAAAGAAACTTGCTGCCCAAAGCGAGTAACTGGAGTGACTATACATCTAGGATCGATAGAAAATATCATTTGAATTTTCACACCATGTCCTTTATGCAAAGAAGCACATCAACAGAGCTCTTCAAATCTATCAAATTCATAGAAGATGAGTCTAGTTGATCATAAGTTGGTCCTTTATGCTTATACAGTAATGAGATTAAGTATATTGACAACTGATTTTCTTTAAATCTATCAAACTTATCGAAGATGTGTCTAGTTGATCATAACATGGTTTCTTATTGAATAGAGTAACAGAGCACCTAAACGTAGGATATATAACCTAACTAGATCTCGCAAATACTTAAGTTCATGTGATTTATACAAAGGCTGAATAAGGTGCTAACACTCCGCAGTGTTAGTATCATGCTAAAATAATTCGTTACACGTATTATAGTAACTATTCACTCATAGCAGCTCCCTTCCCCTCCCTCGTCTCATGCATTTGGATTTCATATGTAGAGTACAATTTGATATGTAAACTTAATATATTTTAAGATTTAGTATCTAAAATTAATTTTTTTGCTTATAAGTCCTAAAAATATTGATGAACATTTATACTTTACAAATAGGTCCAAGTTTATGAGATTTCTAGTATGCTTTAAGAAACTTGTGGTTTGCTTTTATGAGGTTTCTAGTTTGCTTTAATAAACTTGTGGTTTGCTTTTATGAGGTTTCTAGTTTGCTTTAAGAACTTGTGGTCTCCTTTATGAGATTTCCGGTCTACTTCATGGATTGGTAGTATGTTTTATAAGGTTTCTCGTATGCTTTAAGAAACTTGTGGTATGCTTTATGAGGTTTTTGGTCTGCTTCAAGGAACTTGTAATCTACTTTAAGAAACTTGTGGTCTGTATCAATTAACTTGTGGTCTACTTTAAGAAATTTATGGTATGTTTTATTGAACTTATGGTATGCTTTAAGAAACTTGTGGTATGTTTAAGGGAACTTGTGGTCTACTTTAACAAACTTGTGGTATGCTGAGGGGAATTGGTTGGCTTTATGAGATTTCTAGCATGCTTCAGTGAACTTGTAGTCAGCTTTGAGTTTTCTGGTATGTTTTATGAAATTTATGGTGTGATGAGGTTTTGATATGCTTTATAAGTTCATATGTGTTTATATTATCTGTGGTGTGGTTTGTTGATGGTCTTTTCTAGTGTCACTACTAAGGCAAGTGTACCTGTCGTAGGAGCAATATAGTGACAGGCAAGATCATATTCCAATAGAGACTATAAACTAACAAAAGCAGTGAAATTCAGCATAGGCAAAACTTAGTGATTCAGGCCTAAATGTACACTTTTGATCCCATTTATCTTTGGCGTTTGTGGCATTTGAGCTCCGAAAGATGTGGTTTTATGCTAGTTTTGCCGTGTTTCAGTGTATTTCAGAATCTAAAAGGTGGAGCCAACCCCCCGTAGTCGATTGTTGGAAGAAATGGCGTGAAAATCGTACCAAAGGAGGAAGCAGCCGAAGATCACGGTCCATGCAGTTGGTTCACGGTCATCAAGATCATGAACTGGAGCCATAAATCGTGAACTGGCAAGGTTCCATAGCGAATCTACAAGTTATTGGCATCAAGTCAATTCACGGTCGCAAGACCGTGAACTGAAGCCATGGACCGTGAACCGGCTAAATGAAACGGGGCGAAGTGGTTCGAGTTCATGGTCTCCGCCATTTGTACATGGATGTGAACCGGGACTGTGAACTGGGCGCGATCTATGTATAAAAGTAGAGCTAAAAGGAAAAAGAGGTGGAGCCAAAAGGGAGAGAAACCTTCTTTTTCTTCTTCAAGAATTTAGAGAGAGAAAGTCACGAACCAAGAGGGAGAAGAAGCTAGGGTTGCTCCAAGTCAAGATTTGGTAAGTTGTTCTTCAAGAGAGGATTACTACAAGCACAAGGAAGGATTGGGAAAAATCCAAAACTACCACTGTTTTAAAAAAAATTACAAAAATATCACCCATTCCCAAAAATTTCCAAACCTACCACCATCCCCCATAAACCACGCCTCGAAGACTCGGTTCTCATTCAAACCGCGCAGGCAAGGGACGGTTTGCCATTGGGTAGCTGCCAAAACGCGCCTCCACATGGCGGTCCATGCAACCGCACGATGGGCAGGCGATCTGACGGCTAATTGCCTGCCAGCGGAGCGATCCGCGTCGCCCACTGATAACCGTTGCCCTGAAGCGCGGTTTGCGCGTTGGGAAACGTAAACCGTGTGCTGGAGGTGCGCTTTTTGTGGGGTAAAAAGACCAAAACGCCCCTCCAGCACGCGGTTCCTTCCCTATATAAACCCACCCCTTCATCTCATTTTCTTCACACCAAACCCCCAATCTCCTCTCTCTCTCTCTCTCTCTCTCTCTCTAAGTTTCTCACTCTACTCATCCCCTCCCCACCCAAAAACCTTGGAAGTAGTTATTTTGTTGGTTGCGGCTAAGTCTGATCTGCCTTCAAAAAACTTTTCTTTTGTTTTCACTAAAATACCTTCGAATCTCTGTCCGGATCCTGAAAAAATGGCCGATTTTAACCAAGAAGAGGGTATTTATTATGATGATTATCAAGCGGTACGTACTCATTTTACCCAATTTTTGTTGTTGTTATAATGGTTTATTTAATTTATATACTAATTGATTTATGTTGTTGTTATGCTATCGTAGGTTGGGCAGGATGTTGATATATACAATCAACGATATTATGTTGATCAAGGACCGATTGATCCGACTATTTTATACGATCAATCTAATCATCGTTCAAGAGACGTTTGGAACGACCACAAGGTACATATTATTTATCATCACTTGTAATTTTTATTTTGTTAATTTAATTTATTTGTTTGTACAAGAAATTACTTAATTGTTAATCGTATTGATTATTTTCAATAATTTAAATCAATACAATACAACACTTATTTAGACTCTTTATAAAGAAATGCATGTCTAAGGAAATGGGGTCTTAAGCTATCATCATGATCCTCCTATGACCTGGGAAAATCGGGTTTAAGCGATCCTCGGATCCATCCTTTTTCTGTCAAACAGACTCTGTTTCTGAGGAGATGTACCTCTGCTAAGAGTCTTACGAGTGTATAAAATAATATATTTGATTTTATGTGTATGTGTTCAAAAATAATTTTATTTAAATTTCGGAAATGATATTTATTTTAGTTAGCTTAATATTAATGTTTATTAAATTATGTATATTTCTCAGAAAAAACTTGATTTAATTAATTTATATTGTTTGTTATAATAGATTTATATATGGATAAATCATAAACTTATAGTGAAAGTTAAATTCTTCTCTAGGATGCATACCATATAGTCCGCTATAGGGGTACGACGAATATGCTTGAATGGAACGACGTCATCTTGCCCTTTCTTAAAAAGGGCAAGATTGGATCCGATTAGGCACTTTAATGGAATAAAGATCGACTACCAATTCATCACAGCATTGGTAGAGAGATGGCGAAAGGAGACACATTGCTTCAATTTTCGTGAAGGCGAGTGCACCATCACACTTAAGGACATCACCATCCTAACCGATTTGCCCATCGATGGCGATGTTATTTGTGTGGACTCTACGCCACCAGCTAAAGTTGCTGCCAATATGAGTGGTTGACAGCATTTTATATGGACTGTCACCGGGTTGTGTCCGCTAGAAAAGGGAGATCACGATGCGGATGGTAATACACCATTGTCCAAGGGCCAAGTATCCATCACTTGGTTGATAGCAGAGATCAAGCGTCAGCACAACCTATTGTCGGAGGCATTCCCCTCACGGAGGAAAGTTCGGAGCATGATAAAGAAATTTATGCACGTATCTACATCCTTGGCATGATCAGAGGAGTTTTCTTCCCCAAAAATTCCAACAATTTAATTAGAAATTCATGGTTGAAGATCATATTTGGAGATTGGGATGATATGTGAAACCTGATTTGGGCATCTGCTTGCCTAGCTCATCTATATCGCTCCCTCTGTAATGCTAGTTCGAGAGCGGTGAAGGAGATTGATGGAGCCATGTTCATCGTCCAATTTTGGGTTTGGGAGCATTTTCCATGGATTGCGCCAAAGGTAGACCCCGACAAGGAATGGGGACCCGAGTACCCGACCATCCCTTACGACATGAAGCTTATGGTTGTAGGTAAATATTTTCTATCCCACTCATAGTTCTCACTTTTTTTTACTAATTCAGTTTTTATAACGAAATTTTTAGTATGTATTAACATTGTGTACTTTTCCATATTAATAGATGGCTTGGTGAAACAACATGCGACAACCTAGGAGCACATAAGCTGGAGGAGTATCGTAGGAGGCTGGATCACCTTTGGGAAGCAGAGGTAACCATCATAATACACTATTACTTCCTGCTCTATTTTCAACTTGCTTTATTATGTTTCATGATGATCCATTTTTTCTGCACCTTCGTAGCTTAAGTTCGATCCGTATCCAGAACGCATCGTCGCGCATCACGTCCACAAGTTCCCGTTGCATCCCGTTCAATGGTGCACCTGAGTGCCACTAATTTGTCTCCATATAGTGGAGTGGCACTTGCCGGATAGATGTCTACGACAATTCGAACATGAGCAATGCCTACCATTGGAAGTCTCGGCGAGTCAGAGGGGGTACCACGGGAAAGATGGTCGACAAGGATCTACTAATTGGCCCAAGGAGTTTGAAGAATTGATCGATCTGTGGAATAATAGGCAAGATCAGGATATTGTGACGACATTAGCTTTGGGGCGGATGGGCTACCATGACCCATACATGGAAACATACCGAAGACAATCTATACATTACATGACCCCCAAAGGTGCGGCGGACGGAGCTTTGGTAAGTAATTCAGTCATATTAATTTATTTATTTACTTTGAGCATCAATATATTTAGTCATGCGGGGCATTACTACTTAAATGGCTAACGTTGTGCTTTCTGCGATTTAGGTTGATGGCATCGAGTGTATACACGACCTCGCTCGTACTGCAGATCCTTTGGCGGCGGGGCGAGAGGTGGGGCTCATTCGAAGGATAGCGAAAAGTCTCCTTGGCTGTATGAGAGCGCGTTCCCGTGACCATCACAGATACCCGCCAGTTCCCCCACTTACACCTCTACCGGTGACGGAAGATGTCCTCCACGTGCCTCCACCGGTCAATAGAAGGCCAAACAAGGCTACAAGGGATCAACCTCACGTGCCCGAGATCAAGCCGATTGAGGCGTGAAAGGTGCATACTCCATTGGAGGTGTGCCAAGGTGCAGGGTCGAGTACTCAGTATGAACCCCAGTCGAGTTTTCACTACGATCCGCGGCCGAGTGCTTTCTACGACCCCAGTACTCAACATGAGCCTCACCCAAATTTCCACTAAGATCCCCCGCTCGGTTACCACTATGATCCCCGACCGAGTTTCCAATACAATCTCCGGCCCAGTTTCCACTATGATCCCCGGCCAAGTACATTTCATGACGGCACATCCTTGGCTACTTGGGCCGATGGTTCATCCTCGAGTCCCCACCAAGACTTCTCACCTTTGCATCGACCGCAACAACAATGACAGTCCACTCCCTACCGTATGAGTGTGGATAGTCCTCGACCGCACATGGAGGGGCCACCTAGCATGGCACCGCGGCAACATAGCACGGACTAGCGTCCTTTTACGGCAAATAGGAATCTTCCACCACTTCCAACCCCTATTACACCTTGTGGACCAGTCGCCCATCGCACAAGGTAACAGAGGGCGAATCGTTGAAATAATGCATGAGTGTGACAAGTTGTGTTTATTTCAAGTTATGTTTTGTTTAAGTTAAGCTAAACAAGTTGTTTTTTTATTTGAAGTTATTTTTTGTTTCATGTAGAAGTGTGTTTGTGTGAGTGATGTGTTTATTCAAAAAGATGGAACATTGCATCCAAGTGTGACAATTTTGTAAATCTCCAATAACATTTAAGCACACAAAATACAAGTACGTAGCTATTGAAATTAATACACTCTGCGAAAATGCATGAAATCAATCTATGTGTCATTATCCGGGTTCACCACATCGGGACCTGGATTTTGAGGACCAATTGGTCCAGGACAATTTCGTTTATCATGCCCTGGTACTTTGCATATGGAACACCGCCTTGGCCCTCGCACTAGTCTTCCACTTTGATCCATCTCATTTGGAATCTTTTTTACCCGTGGGCGACCTGTTTCCCGCCAAAGTCCGATTGGTGGGATGATGACCTTACCCTCATAAACTGGCCAATAAGCTTCATTCGGAAATGCACGGAAAATCTTACCATAACTGCTCTTTTGTGAGTCGATGTTAAGAACGGAATGACAAAATGACGAGGGTCTTTGCTCCTGTGCTTTATTACAGCCATTGCATGGGAACAAGGTATACCTCTACCCTGATACTTCTGACAAGAGCACTCCCCTTTTTTGGTCCTAAAGTTGACGATGACTTCAGGGCGATGACCCCCATATCTCCCATCCTCTCAGTGCCCGGTCTCGACCGAACACACGCCAACATTTCGGTTCATAACAGTGACAGTGTGCCGAGAGCTCTTCCGATTATCTTTTTCCATTATTTTTATGGCCTTTTCAGAGTGTAGACCAATGAAATAGAACTCTTACCGATCCACCATAGACTATCAGCAAGCTTCTTTCGCTTGAAATGAGGGTTCCAGTTGCTCTTGAAATGTCGTATGCACCATCTTTGTGACCACTTCCAGGCTGGATCCAAGCCTAAGATGGCAGCCCTTATACCGGCGTGGCGAGCAGAGATGATGGTTAGGTTCATCCGCCTGGTGACATGGAGTTGAATTTTTCTGAAGAACCATTGACACGCTAAAACACAACAACAAACTGCGACCAACTGTAATCGCAGTCCGAGAATGCAGTAAAGTAGCAAGTTCTATTATCAACCCGGGGTCTAGATCTACTGCCTACTCCCTGATTATCTATTATCTAGCCAACTAAGTCGAGTGATTGTTGTTTAAAGTAAAAGCAGTAAAAAGCAGGAAATGGTTCGGTTTTCTGAAGTCAAGGAAGAGTCACTCGGGAATGAGTCCCCCTAGCTCCTTAGTTAGGTCTCAATTGTAATTACCCTGGGTTGATTTAATGTTGATTAAAATGCGGAAGATCCGACAGTAGCTTGGAATCTCTTAAGCTGACCAAGCCCTCTCAGTCAAACTACCCGGCAGACGACTAGTCTTCACCGGGATAGAAAGCTGAGGCTATGAACACAGAACTCCACTACTGGAATTGGATTCCAGTACAAAGCAGTAGATTGACTAACTCTCGTATAGCCAATCCACTGCTACCGAATGATGTAGCTCTAACAACCTAATCAGATTCTATCTATCTCAGGTTGCAGCAGAAATCAAGAAAAGCTGATCAGACTTCAGTCAATTCAATGAATCATGCATCATTCGATTATAATCAAGCAGTATAACAATCCCAAGTCATTACAATCAAAATCCCTAACACATGGAACTAGGGTTCTTCATACCCAAGTGAGAGAAAGTTCTACTCCATAGAGAGAGAGAGAGGGGAAAACAGGATACAAAGCAGTCATACTCATAACAATGGGAAGAATCTGCTCTGGGATGATGATTATCACTCCTATGATGATCTCCAAGCTTGATTTGATGAAACCCAGCTCCAAAACCACTCTTAGGATGTGTTCTTCGCACTTTCTCTCTCTATGGCTCTGTTTTTGCTCCAAAAAGTCGATCCCCTCACTTGTGGCTCGGAATTGGGTAAAAACCCAGATTTTCCCGACTCACACAGGCAGGCCACACGGCCGTGTGGCTTACCCAGTTGCCTGTGTGGCTTCCAAAACGCTGCGTCTCAATTAATCGAACTTCAGGCTTCCCACACGGCCGTGTGGAAATTCCACCATGCCCGTGTTTGCTCTCGGCACAAACCACACGGCCACATTGGTGGCTTGCACGGCCGTGTGGATTCCAGGAATGCCCGTGTGGCTTCCTCAGCGCCTCGCCACGCGTCCGATCTTCGTCCAATCGCCCCCAAACTCGCTCCCAAGCCTTCATACACGTACTAGGACCTGCAATATCACAAACAAGAACAACCTAGCGTGAAATCGGCCTAAAACACGAGAATCAACATCTCAAACGGTGTAAGAATAGGGGTAAAAACATGTGCAATTAACGGTCTATCAACCATCCATAGCTATCGGTATTCTCTCCCTCCATAATGGCAAAAGCTAATGGATATACTGCTCTATTTGCATCTGCTCCGCTGGCGATCAGTAGAGTACCCTTCTACTTGTCGGTAAGGAATGTTCCATCAACTTGAATCACAGGAACACAGAATGGAAAACCATCAATACATGGTTTGAATGACCAGAAAAGACGCTTTTTACCAGGCACCAGCGACTGAATTTCTTCATCTTGGTAGCGGGGAGAGAAAATGGTGCCAGGGTTAGACACCTCCATAGCCAAAATTAATCTGGGAAGGAATGCATATGATTCTTCCCAGTCACCAAACACGGCGGCCATTGCTTTCTGTTTACCATGCCACGTCTTCTTGTAGTTAATGATATAACCATAACGACTAGAAATGTCGGTGTTGATGGTTTTAACCTTGACGTCGGGCTGTTCCTCAATTAGATGTTTGATAGTCGCGGCAACCACCCTTGATTTCAATTGTCGATGACCTTGGGATGTTATTGATGGCACACATGTGTGTGTGTTCACCGCACGGGATATGACCCAATGGCCGACTCTCTTTCTCTTGATGGCCCAGACCCTAGCTTTGCATCCCTCATTTTGATTTTTGAATCTAACCATCAGCCTCATCATGTCGGAATGGGTAGTGTGCCATTCAAAACTCCGAGTCATTGCTTCCGTGGCAATAGCGTGCCGGACCTCATTCTTCGTTGCAAATTGTTGGCCCTTCGTAAAGCTAGTGAATGGACCCCATACTGGCACCTCTGGCGGGTCCATGTCGGCATCAACATACCAATCTTCATTTGGAATGTGATTGTAGTACGGGATAGGTATACGGTCGCGAGGTACCTCATCACCGTCTGCGTCTGAATCTGTTCCGGAATCATCAGCACCTTCAAGAGGATCGAAGTTGTCTGCACTGACATCGCCTTCCTCTTCTTCAACCTCAAGGTCACCAACTGGAGTTTGATTGACCTCTTCTTCCATCTGATGATCATCATGAAAGGCACCTTCACCTTCACCAGCTCCGTAATGGTAGTTGTGGTAACTAGAAGCTTTGGTAGAAGTTGTACTCGGGTTGGTACTGGTAGCCTGCTTGTTGGTTCACATCTGCATGTTGAGCTTCTTCTTCATATGATGGGAAGGATTGATGATAACCTCCAGTTCCATCATGATACTCCTGCCTCCAGCTCGAGTCTTGGTACTCCTGGTGGTGATGATCTTCGTATAATACACTGCCATCGTGGATACCAGATGTTTGGCCATCTCCAGAATGACCTACACCTCCTTAGACCGCCTCGGTGTAAACGAACATCTCTGCTTGTTTAATCTTATTGGTGGTCAAAAATTGGACCATGGCATCAACATCCTCCTGAGTGGTAATGAGGAATTCCTCATTCCATAGCGACCCGTCATGTCTGTTTGGATATCGATACACCATACTATCAATTCTTCTAGTGCCATCCATGCAGGTAACCTCAGTATACATTTGATGGAGCTCTTCAATCATTAGTCTCGTATGGACCTTCATTTTATAAAAATTGCCACCCATGTAACTTACACCTTTTCGGTCTCTTCCGTGTAACCATTCCACTGCAACCCAAGCGTGAACCTTTGGAATGCCATCTGCAATAAAACTGTAATTAAGTTACTAACATAAAAATCACAAATGACAATGAAAAGTAATACAAAACAAACTTACAAATTAACGTTAATCGCAAAAACTAAATAATTTAAAGGTGCACAACTGAAATTTGAAAA